CAAAAGACACACTGATTCAATATTTCATCATCTCAGAACCTGTCATACATGAACTCTTTACAACTGTTCATGTTCTTGAGGAAGCTTTATGATTAAAATTGAAAACTTGCAAGACAAAATGGTACTCACAGTTTTAAAACCAAGTCAGTATGGCTACGAGTACTGTTCACTGCCTCAGTCAGTAGGCTTCCATTACAAATATGAATACATGCCTATCACAACATACGAATGATGTGCCACCTCGTACTGACCATGAGTTGGATCTATTGCACAGAGGTTAGTGATACTTGTGACTCGGTAGGAGGCGGGGGGGGCAGTATTTAGTTCTGGTAGACCTCAAATCCACACTACATATGTAAAATAGATATATAGTGAGAAGAATGGTCATCTGGTTTGACTCGCCAACTGTAAATTGTAAATGAGAGATTGCAACGTTTTGAACAATCTATGGAATCATAGGAAAGAGATGGTCTCTGTAAGTGGAACATTTGTCAAGAGTAAAGTAACAACAATTAGCAGTCAGTTATTCACAATACGTTCTGCATTCCTAGGAGTATCAGAAAATCAATCGTGTTATTTATTAAATCCCGGCCGATAGCTGTTACCTTGACGTGATGGTCAGGATTGCATATCCTGATGACCTAGTGAGTTATGTTGTTAGGACGCTTTTTCCGTCGAGGTCCTACTATACCAAAAAGGTCTGTTGTGTAGTTGTTAAACTAACAGCAGTTGCTGTTACAGTGCAAATTTGTATGGTATGATGGTGTTGCGAGGGCGAAATTGCACTGCTGGATGCAGTGTGATTCCCATGGATGGCCAATAATGTCACGCTGTCGCTTCCCTCATGATGGGAAAGTAGTTTAGAAAAGGTGGACCCTAAGAATAGTAAAACCCCCTCTACTCTGCGACATACCGATGCCGGCAACTTGCGTTTATAGTGGGATTCGCAAAACGATAACCAAAATCACACCTCGTAAAAAGCTGTGTGACCGGCCTTAAGCAGATGTCTCTTGAGCTCTGCCTCCACGCACTAACCCTTCTTCTTCAGTTACCTTAAGAAGAGATAACCTTCCACGATTTGAGAAGCTAAAGAGTGTCAATCGCCTTCACAATCCTGTCAGCCCTCAAATTTCCTCAAATCACTATCCACGTTCCCCATTCTCTCCCTTCACTTCTCTCGATCACTATTCCCACTTCATCTCTAATTTCCTCAGTTTCTGGACAACGGTGAATTCACATAACAGCAGCATTAGTCTCTTCAAACTGCTCTCCAAACTACACTTTGGAGCTTTCCATATCCTCATCCTTCGTCAAATCGGTCAACAAGCTTTACTGGTCAAAACTCTATCATCTTGGGCTATGGATGGTTTTTGCATTTGTGAAACACCGATACAAGACCCAAGTGCAAAGTTGACCCTTCGAGGACCTGGAGAATTGATGACTGGTTCTCACTGTCTTCCAGGTGTAAGTTAAGGCAGATATTTCACCGCTCAACTGGGATCCCTGTTGACAATCGCTTATGCAATGTTCGACTGAATAGCACAGTGAGGACTATAAAGAATAGTTAAACACGTAGGCACGTAGGTGACCCTTTTGGAATTAGCTGAACGAATAAATAACGCTGATCGTCTGCTACAACTGTGCTCAGACAACCATTTGTTTTTGACCAGCACAAAATTCAAAGATAAAGAGAGACACTGACTGACATGGCATCTAGCGATCTCGGTTCAGTGATGGACACAGATGAACCATATCACTTACTATGGGTTGTCGTTGTAGGGTCGGTGGTTGGTTGATACTCCTACTGGAGCACGTGTCTAGACAGCGACTATGTGGTGACTGAGGTGGTTAAAATATGTTTCGTGTGCCTTACTTATCATCTTCCTCATTGCATAACATTAGCTCAATGTGGTTTTTAGGCTGGAAAGAGGTTAGGAGCGATGTGACTAAAACATGGTATCAGTCCCTATAATGTATTTGACTGTTAGTCTGAGCCATGTACGGAAATGTGAACTTCTCAGTTGTTATCTCCATATGATAACAGAGACTAGTGATTGAAGACTAGTTTATATAGTTCAGAATCGATGTCAATAACACAGATGTATCCACACACTATGCTCATGTTAAACATGATATTTTCTTTTTTATTCCTCCTTGTTATCTGATCACAATTTTCCACTAGTTTAACTGCTTCCTTTTTTATCGTTCATCATAGTACTTTCTTAATTGATTTGTTACTATAAGGTTTGGCAACTTATACCGTATAACCCAGTAATATCTCATATTGATCCTACTGTTGATTTTTACTTTTTAACTTCATAAAAAAAGGTTTTCATGACTATTGAAATATCTTTATTCATAGTGTTAACCAGTCAGTTTATTCTGTTTTGATAAAAACGTTTCAACAAGAATTCGCTAGTTTATTCTAAGATAATCAAAATTCACATGATTAATATGCATAAAAAAATTATGCGTTTATGCTTATGAGATAATCAGGTATATGGCACGCAAGTTAAATGTACTAGAAATTAAGTAGTAGTAGTAGTAGTAGTATAATTCTCACTTAAATAACTGACATCAGCTAGAGCGGGGGGCGACCATTGAAATTCTGAGAGCACTGGACAGCTGCTTCGTCCTAGTATAGGACTCTTCAGCAGTATGCACTCAGCTAGGGGTCAAACTCAGGACCTCCAGGTTTCACACCCAACGCGTTAACCAACTCAGCTGCTGAGGAGTCCCATACTAGGACAAAATAACTGTCCAATGCTCCTAGATTTTCAATGGTTCCCCAACTGATATCACTCCGTAATGAATACTACTGCTAAATTATAATCCCCATTCATCTCAAGATAAACCAACTACAGATATGTTTGAATATTTTCACATGACTATGACTTCTGTATACACTTCACTCATCGAATATTGGAATGATTCTAAAATTCACTCTGTCGGTCACTAAAACAACGGACGACTTTAAAAGGCCATCGTAGTAATGATGAATATGACGAATTCGGTTTCTCCATTTGGGCTGCTGGAAAGGCAGATTGCAATAGAATCGAGAAGCCTAAGTGATTATTTCCATAGTGTTTGTAGGGTGGGCTTTAAAGTGAGTCGAAATAAGCGATTGAGTGGGTTGATTCAGGTTGACAAAATAGTTTTTTCATAAAATGTAGGAATGTTATTGGTTATTTTCGAAGTTGTGGTAGTGGCGTTTAAAACCATGAGAAGTGTCGCCCCCTACTTGACTCTTATTTTACTCCCTCTGTGTCTCCCACCGCCATACATACTACGTACGTGTGCATGAGTAGTGATGAAGTGAATTAAAATACAAAACTAGGTATTGGCAACTGTTGTACTTCTCTTTTTGACTTGGGAATTATAGTTCTATGCTTGTGAGGTAGTCGGGTTTATGGTACACTATAAGTTACATGTACTAGAAATTAAGTAGTAGTATAATTTCTACTTAATTGATTGTTACCTTTTTGAAAGGCATTATATGGTTGAAAATGAAGGTAATACAAATAGAAGAAGAATACTGTAAAGGCACCATATTCAAAGATGATTATTTAGTGTTTTCTCAGCGTTTTTATTGATTCACGAATGTTTCATAACCAGAAGTCCTCTTCTGTTGGTAACAAAGACTCACCTTCATCAATGATGGTATGGAGCTGTGACTCAAGTGGTTAAGATATAAAATCACATCAGTCTTTATTTATCAAAGTTCACACAATCCAACCTAGTACATATCTGTCTGTATGCAATTGGTAGTCTGTAGATACTTTTATTTCCAGTTGCACACTATTGGTGCAGCATAACTAGGCTAGTTATGTTCCTTTAATAACACTAACAACAATAATAATAGTAATAAAGTAATACTCGTTTTACAGGAGGTGGGTATCATGCCTGCGTGACCCAGTGGATAACGCCGTGGCGTTAGAAGCAATTGGTATGAAGTTGGAGTCTCGGTGGGAACAACATCCCTCACTGTGATACGGTTACATCCAACCGATGAGTGGGTTCGAAATGGGACGAAACGCGCCTTGTAGATTCGTCTGCTAGTGACAACCAAGTAAATCATCATGATTATTATTCAGGCAATATTGAAGTATTCACACTGGACCCCATATGCTGACAGAGGTCGAACAATTCAATCCATTAAAATAATGGTGGATTACAATTACAAAAGTTGGTTATTTCAGTTGGTACTGGGATGGCTTTTAAAGTCACTTGATAAATATATTCCCTCGTTTCTGTTTAGAACATTTATTGACGTTAAAATATACAGGGTTTCTGAAGTCAATCTTTGTTTATGTGAATGGAAACTCTAACATAATAAGTGAAAATCAATTTTGTGTCTACTTTCAATGGCATGCATTGCTACTACTGATCTCTTTTGTAAACTTTCAATTCCACTTTATTCTTTAACTGGTGTTTTCTGCGTAATCTATATTCATTCACTCTAACTTTCACTAATATAATTGACCTAACAGTTTGTACATTTTATGTTATAATACGCACAGTTGTTTTGTGTCATCATTGGAATCACATCCTTAACTTTGACTAAAGCTTTCTGCAAAGAATTTGAAGGTTTGAAATATATACCTTAATACCATAATTATTATTTGTCCCTTAGGTTCCTAGTGGAACATAGAGCTTCAGTAGCATGCCTCCATTGTACTCTCTTCTCTTCAGTCTTTTCAACCTGGCTCCACGACTGCCTGCTCACAAGCTTTCATTTCTTTGTCACACACCATCTCCTCCATATCATCCTCTCCTCAGACACCCAACTCGTCGTTTCCTCTTTGGATTCCACTCGACAGCCTGGTGCATGATGTCCACAATCGGCCTTTTCATTGTATGCCCAATTCATCTCCACAACTTAATACCATACATAGCACAAACTCTCACAATTCTATAGAATTTTATGAGAGGAACGTTGTTTAAATAAAACTTTTAAACAAATTTCTTTTTTTGTATATGTTTTTTGCTTATTGAATTAGATGATAATTTTACAGAATCGGAAACTAATTCAGATATCAGTAGTTTATCAGGTGAAAGTGTAACCAGTTCAATGAGTCAATTGAGTTTAAAACATCAGGATCCAAAAAGTCTGGGTATGTTAATGATTATTATTTTTAACATAAAAATATACCTATACTGAGAATACTGTACTATTAGTATAATTGCTTGCATTATACCGTTGCTGACTGGACTGAATTGATCGGTCTGTATTGGGATACAGGCCCCTGTGCGGATGCCTCGATATAACCTGTGTTTCAACTATATATAGTAATCATGGATAGTGGGTATCAGTACAATCCAGGATGCACATTTCGTCCTATTTGGAACTCGTCAGCTGAATGTACTTTCCTCCCAGTGAGTGATGTTGTTCCCACCGGGATTCGAACTCGGGGTTGATCTAGTGGATAACGCCCCGACGTTTGAAGCGATCGGTCCTGAGTCCGAATCCTGTTGGTAATAATATCACTCACTGGGAGGCGGGTGCATCCAGCTGACGGGTCCCAAGTAGGACGAAATGGGCATACTTGGTTCCACTGGTGGCCAGTATCCATCATTACAATAATATACTATGTTGAACTAGCTTTCACTTGTAATGTAAATCAATATATAAAGCTAACAATTCGAAAACTATTTGAGTAAAGAATATTGAAAGCCGGATCTTGTTCCACATGCTGAGTGCAGTGGATCTCCACACTGATTTCAGACTAGTGAAAGCCTGTCTTGCTTTTCCGATCCTGGTTTTAACATCCTAGTCTGTGCCTGTGCCGCCTGTAGTTGAAACGATGGTGTCTGCCTAGGTAGGGGAAGGAGACTACTTCCTTTAGGTTTCTCCCCTTCATTGTGATTGGTGGCTGTTGTTGGTCGGGTATCTTCATCACCTCCGTCTTCTCTACATTCACCTGAAGGAAGTCCCAGCTTTGCTGCCTCACCTCTTCTGTCAAATTGTTGGCTTTCGCCTGTAGATCTTCGAGTTTGTGCCACAAGACATTAGACATAAATCATCATCGTAGGCGAAATCCAAATCTCATAGGATCTTATTATCGGTCCAGCGTATGCCCATCTTCTCGCTCCTCACTGTTTGCTGCATGATCCAGCCGGCCACAATCAAGATCATGAGTGATAGTAGGTAGCCTTGTCTTACTCCTGTCTTCACTTCAAAGGCATCACTGAGCTCCCCACTGTGAATTACTTGGCATGTGGCGTCTTCATATAGTTGCTGAATAAGATTCATAAAGATTTGTGGTACTCCGTAGTGTTGAAACAGCTGCCTGACAAATCACTTCTCGGTCGACGCTGTTGAACCGAATACCATAAAATGACTTTTCTATCGGTCATTGTATAAAGAATGATATCCATTTGATAAAGTAATCATCACTAGTGGCTTCTTTTTTCTCCTCATAGACGTTCAATGAAAGCAAAACGAAAACAAGAATCAAAGAAATGGAGTTCAAAACCAGGTAATAAATATGAAGAAGTTGGTCTTCTGTACGAACTTACACAATCAATTGAAATGGCTCAAACACTTGCCAGTAAGTTATAATCATTGAATAGAATAATCTTACTAGTATAGTAATTTCTTTTTAGTAGTAAACAGGAAGGAAGGAAGTGTACAGTTAATTATATACGTGTACTACTTTCTATTTTGTTGAAGAATGTACTCTTAGTAATTGAATAAACCAATTCATCTGAAAGTTTGCTATTAGCTGAAATGATTAATCAGTTTTCTGTAAGATGATAAAGTTCGCAACAATATGATATCTATCATATTTCAGACTGCATAGTAAGTAGGTCAGTACATACATCATCGAAATTTGTTCAAATATAGTAAAGATCAAGTGGTTGTCTATTGAAATAATATCATTATTGTAAACTATGTAAATATTTTTAGTTGTTGAGAGACAAAGAAAGTGTATAGTCGAAGAGTTTGGATGACTCTATTCAAAATTGGTAACAGTAACACACACAGATGTTTCCATGCCATATAGTCTAAATTCGTTATCATAAAAAAAATCGATTATGAATATTTCACTGTGTACTAATATGAAATGTAGAAACTTACATCGATATGTCCTATTTTTAAGTTTGTCTCATTACCTCAGAAGAAAACATTATTCATTAGAGTAAACCATGATTATTGGTGTTCTCATACTATACAACTTCTTTAAACAAAACTAGATTTGATAGTTAGGAGACGTTTCTTCACACTCATTCAGGTTACAGTTAACATCGTAAATCGTACAAAATAACTTTTCTTGTAGAAAAAAAATCATTATTAGAAAAATTTAGAACTACCATGGTTACGAAGGCGAACATCCACAAAAAAACAATGTAAACAATACTGTACCCTATATTCATGAAAATAAAGAGACAATTTGAATACATAGTAGTGATTAACTTATGAGTTTACATTGCGCATCTCATCCCTCAAAAAATCCTATGATTCCAGTAAGTAACAACACTTCGACTTTCTCAAAACAGGACTCCAGGAATCGCTGCATAACGATCCGAGTTGCCACACCTCATATCACTACATCAGGTAAAAAGGCAGTGAAGTGGAAGATGCAGAAAAGAAATATACAGTACGAAAGGAGAGAAAGGAAGAATGAGAAAATGGTGAGATTCGGTACAACGTCGTTAAGATGAAGATAATGTGTGTATACATCTACGCCACTGACATCGCTTCTCAGTCAGATCACATACAGTCTCCAACCACTGGTTCCTCTTGTCCCACGGACCCCAACCACCCAGTCTGCATCGCCCCACATGGTTCATACCAACAGTCAGAGACTTCATGCATTGGTGCCATGTTTTAGTCTGGCCACCTCGGGCATTATTCCACCTTGAACCTACTTCGGCCAACATTGTGTGACGAGGCAATCGCCGACTAGGCATACGTAACACATGTTGCAACCACCTCAGTCGATGAAGGTTCACAACCACATCAACTGATTTACCTCTTCTTCCTAAAACTCTACACTTGACTTCTGCGTCACTCACGTAGGAACACTACGGAATACGGCCTATACTACGAAGGCAACGGTGGTCAAACACCTGGAACCAGCCTTCTCATGTCTTCCACCTTCAATGGTCATGTTCCACAGACATACAGTAGAACAGAGTAGACTGGTGTGCAGTACACGCGAGCCTCAATAGACAAACGGATATTGGGGCGGCGCCATAGGTGGTGTAAGTTGACGAAAGCCAACCGAGCCTTTTGTATCCGTGCAGAGATTTCATCGACCAGTGAGCCACTATGGCTGATCCTACTTCCCAGGTAAGTGAAGTAGTCGACACACTCAACCACTACACTCTCTATTGTTCGCTGCAGTGGGGCACCGTTGAAGACCAGTCCTGGAGCAACAGTTTACATTTGGGTGGTGAAAAACCCATCCCAAACATTCTCAGATCCCCACTCAATATGTTCACAACACTCTCTTTCTTGTCACCATTTTCACCTAACAGGACTATGTCATCTGCGTATTTTAGGTCTAGCGAAAATTCTCCTGCGGTTAGGTCAACGTCTGTATAATCAGGTGACGAGAGGGAGACCTCCATAAGAATATGTATGATAAAATTGAATAAGAACGGAGAGAGTGGGCAGCTTTGGCGGACACTGCTTGACGAGTGCAGTTTCCCGAACATCTCACCACCTACATTTAAATCTAATCTTTCGTTATTCGTTAGACTTATGAGGCTGTTTTGTGACAGGCAATAAAGGGATTATGTTTTTTTTACTAGATGGTATTTGATTTTTATACCAGAGATACCTCAAGAATATTTTCTACATTTTCCTATCCTATCTTAACTCGCTTAGCCGTACTTTTCTTTGCAGATGAAGTTACTGACACAGTTATGGAATTATGGGATGCAAATCTATTTGAAGAGAGTCGAACATTGGTCCGCTTAACCAATGACTTATTAAGGAAGCAAAAACAAGGCATACCTTATATATGGGATGATTGGATAACTGCTAAAGTAAGTAAACACTCTCACGTTTCACAAGTAAGACTATACATTTAGTCTTACTTGTCATGTTTTTAATAAAGTGTCGAATCATGTTACCACCTGCTGATACTACTACTACTTTTAGATTAAAGTGTGGTCGGATGGATGATATGAAGTCATTTTTAATTCTTTGAAATAAAATTGTATGATATTTGGCAACTGTAAGGAAAGTGAATAACAAATCCTTGGAGCGCGTAAGCAATCTTATTCATTGGTGCTAATATTCTAATCGTAATCTCGGTATGGATGTGAAAACTGCAGGTAGTGTTCGTCAACATAAGTCATACAGTAAAAGGTAAGAGGATAAAATACCGAATAGCTATTGCAGGCGGAAAACAGTTTTACAGACAATTAGTTATAATTCCTTAAACATAGTATACTGGTAGTTGTTTCAGATAATGAGTCTACAACAATCGATATATATATATATATATATATATATATATATATATATATATATATATATATATATATATATATATATATATCTTATATATTGACCGAAGTAGTTAACTCATTTGTTACATATGTCATTTCGTTGAATACCAGTATCATAATATTATTGACTGGGACAACGTATAACACTGATTCTGTTAGTTTACACCTTTTAAAAAACTGTATCCTGTGTAGCGTGTGGGGGGGGGGATTGTTAAGAGAGACTTTTAACTGAAGAGATGGCTTGAAATCAACCGCGTTATCGCACAAGTATTCACTCTTAAAGAAAGTAATTCACTTCAGCAACCGTATGGAGGTCCATATATTAATACTGGGTGGTGATTGAAGGTGAAATGAAACTCCCGACTGGGGCCAGATTCGAACCAGCGACCACCGGTCTTCCAGCTCGGTGTTCTACCAACTGAGCTACGAAATCCGACTGCTGACCACATTTTTATTTCATTTCAACCACCAACGGTTTCGCCCATTTACCATACGAGATCGTGGCGCGTACACTGGTTGCCTAGTCAAGACTTCTCATCCAAATCTAACTGAATTAGGAAGGGGGAGCATCATATTAATTATTATCATTTTTGACTATCTGAGAGCCGTGGTTTTGCAGACTAGCTATTGATGCTACGTGATGAACGAAAGTGAAATGAAAATTTGGATAGCCACGGGATTCGAACCAGCGACGCCGCAGTGGAGCTCGGGAATAGCAAGTCCGAGAAAACCAGGCAGGCTTTAGATCCAGCCGCGGACGTGTTACAGCCTATGGTAAGATGTCCAGGGAGCTATGCTCATCGAGTCGTGTCCACCAAAGCTGCCCACTCTCTCCGTTCTTATTCAATTTTATCATACATATTCTTATGGAGGTCTCCCTCTCGTCACCTGATTATACAGACGTTGACCTAACCGCAGGAGAATTTTCGCTAGACCTAAAATACGCAGATGACATAGTCCTGTTAGGTGAAAATGGTGACAAGAAAGAGAGTGTTGTGAACATATTGAGTGGGGATCTGAGAATGTTTGGGATGGGTTTTTCACCACCCAAATGTAAACTGTTGCTCCAGGACTGGTCTTCAACGGTGCCCCACTGCAGCGAACAATAGAGAGTGTAGTGGTTGAGTGTGTCGACTACTTCACTTACCTGGGAAGTAGGATCAGCCATAGTGGCTCACTGGTCGATGAAATCTCTGCACGGATACAAAAGGCTCGGTTGGCTTTCGTCAACTTACACCACCTATGGCGCCGCCCCAATATCCGTTTGTCTATTGAGGCTCGCGTGTACTGCACACCAGTCTACTCTGTTCTACTGTATGTCTGTGGAACATGACCATTGAAGGTGGAAGACATGAGAAGGCTGGTTCCAGGTGTTTGACCACCGTTGCCTTCGTAGTATAGGCCGTATTCCGTAGTGTTCCTACGTGAGTGACGCAGAAGTCAAGTGTAGAGTTTTAGGAAGAAGAGGTAAATCAGTTGATGTGGTTGTGAACCTTCATCGACTGAGGTGGTTGCAACATGTGTTACGTATGCCTAGTCGGCGATTGCCTCGTCACACAATGTTGGCCGAAGTAGGTTCAAGGTGGAATAATGCCCGAGGTGGCCAGACTAAAACATGGCACCAATGCATGAAGTCTCTGACTGTTGGTATGAACCATGTGGGGCGATGCAGACTGGGTGGTTGGGGTCCGTGGGACAAGAGGAACCAGTGGTTGGAGACTGTATGTGATCTGACTGAGAAGCGATGTCAGTGGCGTAGATGTATACACACATTATCTTCATCTTAACGACGTTGTACCGAATCTCACCATTTTCTCATTCTTCCTTTCTCTCCTTTCGTACTGTATATTTCTTTTCTGCATCTTCCACTTCACTGCCTTTTTACCTGATGTAGTGATATGAGGTGTGGCAACTCGGATCGTTACGCAGGAATCCCTGGGGTCCTATGTTGATCATGATGACCACTGTGTTATCGGGTCAGTGCCCTAACAACTGAGTTACAAGGTCCGATTGTTGACTAGATGAATAATTCATGTACTTTCAATGAGACTGGACATTTGTCCAAATACATGGAGTGTGTACGGTATACAACCTAATGATTAAGACATGATTTTCGCAACCATTGAACAGCAGTTATTAATTTTGATCGTCTTAGTGATGAAGTCCGACGTTTGATTCATCTGATTACTTTCACCTTGTTGCTTTTTATACGTCTGAGTTGTTTTGAAAGTGCTGCAACTTGAACCATTGGTAAGTCCAAGTTTTTAAAACTATAGTGACTTTGATGTCGATAACGTATTTATCTTGGGTAATCTTCTGCATAAGTAATAATCAATCTTTTTGCCTTTCGCTTATTTGAATAGTGTACAGAGGAGAATGAACAACACTTCTATGGACGAAAAAAATACCCTATTCAAGGTAAGCCAGTAATGGTAATAATGATTAACGAATTTAATTTTCAGGTTGGTATTCATCCTGAACTGATATCGTGAACTGACATAAGTAAGAAATATCTCCCATTAGATTCCGACGCAGTGGCTTAAAGGTAACATGCTTACCGTAGAATTTTAATGTCCTGGGTTCGATCCCTGGCGGGGTCGTGGATGCACACTGCTGAGTAGTCTCATAATGGGACGAAGCAGCCGTCCAGTACTACCAGGTCCCCAATGTTTCTTTAACTGATGTCAGTTCAGGATGAATACCATCCCCTGAAATCAATAAACAACTCCCACAACAAACCAACTCAGGATTAAATGTAATTTTTATTCGTCTCACTTTTCAGAACCATTCCTATGCTTCCCGCCAAAGATGAAGAAGACCACCATTGAATGTTGTGTACTGTATAGATAATTTTTAAATGTGAATACATTGTAATCATGTATCTCTCATTAAAATTATTTTGTATTGTTATAAAATAAAATTTAAAGGGAAGAAAACAAAATGCTTTTCTTGCATACAACACCTTGTTGTTTGATTGAATTTGAAGCAAGTAATGACATAATAGATGATGGTGGTAGTTGATATTAATAGTCGGTTAAAATTCATCAAGATCTTTCCTTCCAAATTTAAATAATAATGATGATATACAAAGTAGTAAGTTCTGTAGTAGTATAGCTACACCAGGCCAAATTGGTTTCTTCCCCACAGAGACATAGCCTCCGAAGAGTATCCAACATGAGGCTATCACACTGCTGAAAGCCATTGAGAAGGCAATAAATAGACAGATAAGAGCTCCACGTCGACCAATACGACTGTCTGAGTACTCATCTCTCAACTAGAAAAAAGGCAACAATTAATTTACTAACTACAATTTACGAGTAAGTAATTTTACTTCAGTTCCCAGTTATTTGAAATTACTTAAATAGAACAGCTGGCTGCAAAGGCGTATTATGAGAAGTAATGTTGACAGTTTTATTGACATATCTTTATAAACACAGTGTCCTGTTACGCCTCACTTCTTTGCATAAACAAATGTAAATCAGTGACAACAATCAGCCTCACCTAAAGTGAGAAATAACCGTACCACCTAGTTGTTCATCAGAACTCCTCAGGTGGAGCGGGACTTGAACGTGTGACTTACTGATTTAAAGTTAAGGGTATAATTTGGTGAGTTATAGCAGTCTTATTGTGTAACTTGGTAGGAAGCATCCCATGACTGATCTTTATTATAATGAAGATTTAATATCCTTGCCACTGATTCCATCACGACACAACCAGGAGCAAATCTTAACACTCAAACAGTACATCCTTAGGGAATAAATTCCTAGTTCGCAAGCGCTTATAAACGTACAACCCAAACAGTAGCTGCTATCTTGACGTGGTAGTTGGGCCTGTATATGACGATGATCCAACAAGCTATGCTGGTGGGACGCTTGTCCCCTCGAGGTCCCACCATACCAGAAAAGTCTGCTGGATAGTGGTTAGACAAAATCTAGTTACCTCTAACATGTTCTTAAACAATGAGATCATGCATTATGCTGGCTTAGATCAGCGGTTAGTGGTAAACTGAAACCACAGAACCTGTGTCCAACTACTCCCATACTACATGTGAACTGTCCTGGCATCAAAAAGGTCGTACGTGACCGGCTACAAGGAAATATGTCCTGGTCTCTGTGGCCACACAAACCTTTTTCTCTTTCAGGTACCTTAAGAATAGCCTCCCACGGTGTGGACAGCCAGGAAGTGCCAGCCGCCCGTGCGCTTCCACTAGTATACAAGACCTAATCACTTATCTTCCCTCAACTCAGTCTCCCTTGGCCTTCGCCTCCTGATAGTGACTTTGGTGTCAATAACTTATTTATCTTGGTTAATTTTCTACATAAGTTATAATCATGATATTAGGCCTCCTTCGCCTTACCCCTCACTCTGCAACCTTTGTCATCAATCAAAGCCATCGATACATCATTCCCAGTCTCACAAGACCCCGCTATTGATTTCATGTAGGAGCCCTCAACGTCCACACTCTGCTGAACCGGACAGCAAGCATCTCTCGCCAAAACTCTGGAATCTCTGTCCATAGATGTATGCTGTTTCTCAGAGACACGTATACAAGACCCGAGTGCGGTAATTAAATTGGCCTCACCTGGCTACTGTAGTGAATCTTTAAAACTCACCTTAAGAGTATCCACAGACGCAATGACCAGATCTCGTGGACTCGTTTGTGTAGGCGTAGCATTGGGACGTAGAGCAGAAAATACGCTCCATGACTGGTTTCCAGTAAACAACCACCTACATGCTGTTCGACTGAATGGATCTGTAAGAACTATTAGGGATCGTGAGACTAGGCGACACCTATTCATCATCGCCTACGTACCAACCGACTGCAGTTCGGATGATGAAAAGGGTGAATTCGATGAAAAGTTGTCGATTTTGCTACAGAAAGCAAGACGTCCAGATATAGTCATAATTACAGGTGACTTACACACTCAAGTAGGGAAGTTGAGCCAATCGGAAAGGCATCTACGGGATCCCATACCAAAAAAACAAGGACGGTCGTCGTCTGTTGCAAATTTGCTCCCATAATTACTATTTCCGGGCCAGCACTAACTTCAGGCATAAGGAGACACACTGTCTTACATAGCGTTTACCAGTTTCAAGCCAACGACGGACACAGATGGATCATATTACTATAAGCTACATTTGTAGGGTTGTTCCTCTTTCTGGAGTACTTGTATGGACTCTGATTTTGTGCTAATACGGGCTCGTGTATATCTACGATAGTAAAGCCCATCTATAACCGACTGGAAGATGAAAACGCCAAGTCTGCATTTAGGTAAGCGGTACCCAAGCATTTATATCTGAACACGACAGCAATGCTTATCCTGAGGAAACCTGGCGTGACACTAAGTCTGCTGTAGAAACAGTGGTTAAGACACATCTGTTAACCTACACCTGAAGGTTATACAAACCTCATTGGATTTCCGCGACTGGCTCTGACCACGATGAAGGGCAAAAGAAATAGTCTTCGTTTCGATCACGAGCAGTGGTGGGGATGGAGAAGAAAATGGCGTTGTGTAACACTCGGCAACTATTTAGGCTTATCAATGATACGGGTAAGAAGACGATGGTGGATGAAACCATTACCGAAAAGGATAGGATGCTTATAACTTCTCTGGACAAACGGCCACAACGTTGCGCAGAACACTCTGAAGCACAGTCCAACTGGCCCTCACCAACGCTTCAGCTGCTCAACACCCAGCCTGAATCTGAATGTGACGTAGATGTCGGCCCTCCAACTCTCTTCGAAGTTGAGAAGGCTGCAAAGCAGCAGGACCAAACAGTTTGTCACCTGAAGTTTTCAAGGATAGAGGTAGGAAGCTGCCGATAAGAGTGCATGACTGTGAAGGAAGTACCGAGCAAGTGTACAATGCTTATCAAAGCTCTTTAATGAAACTCATGCAGTCGTATCCGGGATTATGGAGAGTTATCAAGTGAGCTGACAACAACTGGTGATGTCCAGCAGGGATGTCCACTGTCACTGTTCTTATTTAACTTCGTCATAGACGCACTAATGAACATGACCTTATGTACGTCTGACTTCACAGGGATCGATCTACTCCCTGGAGGTCACGTAGTTGACTTGGGATATGCAGACGGTATTGTCCTGCTAGGGGGAGATGCTGACAAAATGTAGGGTCTTCTGAACACCTTGAGCAGAAATCTGTGTATGCTTGGCATGCGTTTCGCACCTGTCAAGTGTAAGATGATGTTTCAAGACTGTTCTGGTGCAAGTATTTCTAGCTTAATGATAGGGAGTGAAGTGATGCAACGCGTCGACCGCTCCACTTAATTGGGGAGTTACATCAACCCCGAACAACGTGATTGCAGACGAAATCTCAGTTTGAATGAAGAAGGCTAACGACACCTGTGGCATCAGCAAGATACCAGGCTATCTGTCAAAGGACGGGTATACTGCTCTGCAGTTCGTTCTGTCCTGTCGTACGGCTGTGAAACATAGCCGCTAGAAGTAGAGGACATGAAACGGCTGGAAAGTTTTCATCACAGGTATCTTCATAGCATAGCTGGAGTTTGGTGGAATAGGTGTGAGATGCTGAGGTCAGGCGAAAGGTACTACGCAAGATGGGCAAGCCGACTGAAGAGGTTGTGAACCTTAGTCGACTGAGATGGTTTGGACATGTACTTCACAACCCGAGCCACAGCCTAACTTGACGTGCCATGCTAGAGGAAGTTGGATTAGAATGGAAAAGGGTTCAAGGTGGTCAGACCAAAGTGAGGCACCAATCGACGAAGTCCCTAACTGTTGGGGTGTGCCAAGCGGGGAGTGTCCAGCTGGGGGTCCTGAGATGAAAGGAAGCAGTATTTTAGGACTCTTGATGACAGCTGAAAATCGGTCACAATGTGCACATATATTCACTCCTTGACATCTAAACCCTGAATATGCACACTAACCTTTGTCTTCAGACTGTTTATTCTCTCACACAACTTTGTCTACTTTGATATCTCCCATTTTCCATGTACCTGCTCTTTGTATACTTCTGAGAAGTGTGGCAACTTGGGCCGATGCATTTGTGAGCTTCTACGTTATTTTTGTCGGTCAGTCAGTACTAGTAAAAAGCTGTTAGCTAGCCGTGGTAGGTTGCCATGCCATACCCTAGAACACTGAATATTCCCATGAAGTATGCCATACAACTAAGAATGTTAACAGGTTAGTTAGTATAAATAAACTAGGATACTAAGTGGGAAAAATTCAATTAGACTTACCACTCCATTAGGGACACTGTTGATTAGAATAAAAGAAATGGTACAGAAGACACCTGCAGTGTGATACGCATTGGGTAAAGCATTGTCTTCCGCATACATAACCGCTGCATCGATGGCTATCCACCAACCTAGTGCGAACAGAAATCCTGAAATTATTGATACTATGCTGTTGCTAATACGACCGGAATTGGCATCTCGGAAATGATCCAGAAAAGTCATGTCAGTTAGTGTTCAATTCTGAAATTAATTAGCACATTAGAAGAAAAACCATGGAAGTATTACATAGAATTGTACGGTTTTTAAATAATTAGTAAAATGTAACCTTACGAGGATTCTGATTGCGGTCCAAAAACTTCGGAAGTCTATGATCAACCCATGAAATGACTAAAAAATAACCGTGGATTAGGATACTTTCTTTATACATCAGCACTTTATACCTATCCGTTTAGTTTATACTCATATTGGCCAGAAGCGATTTAAAACCTATCACAGTTTAACTCATAATGCTGATGATAAGTAAGGAACTTGTGACTTCTGTTCGTCGAGTTGTAACACAAGATTGCACTGTCTTTCAACAGCTTAGTGGCCATTCTCTATACTTCACTAATGAACTTTACACTAACGCTGTTGTTGAACTCTGTTCGTTAATCATCGTGAAGACGGATTCACGGATTTTTGGTGATCTGATGTTGACTTTTTCACTCGAAATCTAATTACTTTCAATTTATTTACTCCACTTACGTTCACATCTAGCTTTTTTTAGATTAATACTCTTCAGTTTTTACTGTTCATCCTTTTGCACGTTGTTGAGAAGTGCAACTGTTTGAACCAACGCGGTTTGCATGAGGTAAGATGTGACTGTGTTTATCTCTAGATGTCTTCATCATATCTTTTATGTACGGGGAGATAGGCACTTACAATATAGAATCTGGTTTAAACCCGTAGTTACCGAAGTTACGTATTGAAATGGAAGTGAACCATAGTCCAAATCAGAAGAAAGTAATTTAGAATATGCGATATACTAAGGTATATGATATTAAGATTTAAACAAGGATATGTACGCATCTGCACCACTGTGGTCAATTCTGAGCAGGTGGTCTGCAAATATTACTTTAGTGGTCTAGCGGACATCAACCAGGCAGCCTACGTTTGCTTACACCCATCAAACCAATAGTTAGTGGCAATTGACTACTTTTACGTCTATCCGCTCACCTAGCTTTTCTTCTGCCTAATTCTACTCCATATAGCATAGCATTTCAGTGAAGGTAGTACAAGCCATGTCTTTACTGATGAAGGTATACATGCTCACTAACGCGTTAACAACCTGGACTACTAACTTATTTCTCCTGGCAAGGAAAATGGAATTAAATACATTTAGTTGTCCCAAACCATCTACCGTTACTGGCGTTTTATATCTTTTTTTGTCATCGACCCGCCGTGGTTGATATGGCTTACCAAGAGAGTGGAGTAGCAGACAAAATTAACCACTTCACACCCTACTACCAAACGACATATTGACACAGAGCAGTACTGAAGCAACAATTTGCACTTTGGAGGTATGCGATACACTTCAAACACTCTAAGAATGTAACTACAGTCAGGCGTCCCATAAATATCGACATTAAGATTTTAGAAAATGATTTGTTCAATCCAAACCTATTGTGGTTATAACTAGACGATTTATCGCTTTTTTGAAAAACTGAAATGACCAATGAAGTGGGTTAGTTGGTTGAGATAACCTATTCCCTGTGTTCGACCTAGTGACATGGGTCAACTAGTGGTTTTCGATCATAATCATTCAAAACATCTGATGTCACTTGCTTTCTTTCTTCGCATGGAAATGTTATTTCACTCAACTTTCGTGAGATTCGTAGAACACGATTTTGCCTCCTATGCAGGCTGCACCTGGATGGTGAGCAGCTGAGTAGTAGCTGTAGGCTAGTTTAAATTTACTACTATCATTATCACCATTATTATTATTACACAAACATGGTGCAGCAAGGGCATTATGAAAAAATAAATGATAGGAACTGGATAAGTAAAAAAGAAAAACAATTAGAATAACATAATCAGAAGGGCAGTCCAGTAAGATGTATTCAAAATAAAACATTCATTACTTTTCAGCAGCGGAAGATAGAATGAAGCTACAGCATGACCACAACTGAGCCATATCTAATAACGTGCCAAGCCACTGAGTTGCGTGATCTCTCGAACCCCACCCACGAAGTCGTGATGCACCAACAGATGATAACCCGATACAACTATCCTTCATCCCATGGTACGACGTCATACCCTGCCCACCTCTCCACTTCTTCCATTCAGTCCCAGGGCTAGCAGACACTGAACGGTATGGAAGCCGTTCAGACGACATGTGCAGCATATGTCCACGCCACTGAAGCCGATGCTTCCACATGACTTCACTGATTGGATGACGACCTCTAATAGGACCAAACATACGCTGTCGTACCTCACAAGTACTTACATGGTGTTTACATCACAAACAAGCTATCCTACGCAGATAACGATGACCAAACAGAGAATCATCACACATCCTCGGTTTGCAGAAGCCAGGTTTCACAGGCTTACAGCAGAACTGATGGCACCGAAGCGTTGTAAACCTGACCTTTTACACCCAGACTAACGTCGAGGAGCTTGGGAACAGCAAGCTCGAGAAAACTAGGCAGGATTTAGGCCCGGCCACGGGTGTATCGACCGAACATCCACACTACGCCAGGTCCTGGGACATAGACACGCTTACCGACGCCCGACAATAGCTGTATTTCTGGACCTGAAGGCGGCATTTGACTCCGTCGATCGAGACGTCTTATGGCAATGTCTCTCACTGAAAGGCATGCCGAGTAAGTACATCATCTTATTGAAAGCCCTCTACTCGAACACTTGTGGGCATGTTAGAGCCTATGGTAAGATGTCCAGGGAGCTGTACTCGTCGAGTGTTTTCCGTCAAGGGTTCCCACTTACTCCATTCTTATTCAATTTTATCATAGACATTCTCATGGAGGCTAACCTAATCATAGGAGAATTTTCGTTAGACCTAGTATACGCAAGTGACAGTCCTGTTAAGTGAAGAAGCTGACAAGATGTAGAGTCTTCTGAACACTGAGTGGCAATTTGAGAACGTTTGGGATGGGTTTTACACCACCCAAATGTAAACTGTTGCTCCAGGATTGGTCTTCAACGGTGCCCCACTGCGGCTAACAATAGAGAGTGTAGTGGTTGAGTGTGTCGACTACTTCACTTACCTGGGAAGTAGGATCAGCCATAGTGGCTCACTGGTCGATGAAATCTCTGCACGGATACAAAAGGCTCGGTTGGCTTTCGTCAACTTACACCACCTATGGCGCCGCCCCAATATCCGTTTGTCTATTGAGGCTCGCGTGTACTGCACACCAGTCTACTCTGTTCTACTGTATGTCTGTGGAACATGACCATTGAAGGTGGAAGACATGAGAAGGCTGGTTCCAGGTGTTTGACCACCGTTGCCTTCGTAGTATAGGCCGTATTCCGTAGTGTTCCTACGTGAGTGACGCAGAAGTCAAGTGTAGAGTTTTAGGAAGAAGAGGTAAATCAGTTGATGTGGTTGTGAACCTTCATCGACTGAGGTGGTTGCAACATGTGTTACGTATGCCTAGTCGGCGATTGCCTCGTCACACAATGTTGGCCGAAGTAGGTTCAAGGTGGAATAATGCCCGAGGTGGCCAGACTAAAACATGGCACCAATGCATGAAGTCTCTGACTGTTGGTATGAACCATGTGGGGCGATGCAGACTGGGTGGTTGGGGTCCGTGGGACAAGAGGAACCAGTGGTTGGAGACTGTATGTGATCTGACTGAGAAGCGATGTCAGTGGCGTAGATGTATACACACATTATCTTCATCTTAACGACGTTGTACCGAATCTCACCATTTTCTCATTCTTCCTTTCTCTCCTTTCGTACTGTATATTTCTTTTCTGCATCTTCCACTTCACTGCCTTTTTACCTGATGTAGTGATATGAGGTATGGCAACTCGGATCGTTACGCAGCAATCCCTGGTCCTATGTTGATATTGATGATGAACGTCGTGACGACGCCAAAAGCGACACAGACTGGCATATGACATTTTGGCTTTCGATATGTAGTTGGAAATTTCATCGCTCGCACCTCTACCAGGACTCACAAAACTAACCAGATACACGAAGTTTTTGACCACTTCCAACGGCTTGCCATCAAAGGTCAGCGCAGGCATGGGTTCCTGCCAACTTTACAAAAGTACTTTGCACTTCGTTAGTGCAAAGTATGTACCGTAGTTGGGGACACTAGGTTTTAGACTTACCGTGAGATGAACTAACTAGTTTTCTGGTGACATGTTCTGAGAAGTCATCAAAGATTCTCTTTATCGACAATACTCTTCCTGGCAGTTGACTTCTTATTGTCACCTCAATGAGCTCAAATACCCACCAACTGTGCTTTCTTCCACCGACTACCACTGTTAATAAGAACTCAGTTTACCTCTAGGGTATTTACCCTGTTAAAAGAATGTAGTAATGGAACTTTGAGCACCATTTACTTGGGAAGGTGCTGTTGAGCTCTTATGATTTTTGCGGGTGTCTTCTTAGTACATAATATTACTTCAGGTAGGATCAGATTGACAGACACTGTCATTATTCAACAAACACAATTTCTTCGTAAATATGTATTCGAAATTGTCATCATAATAGAGAATGAGGAAACCTATCTTTACGTAGCAAAAAAACGGATAATTTATGGGGAATAGCACAAAGCGATGGCATTCACGTTCATGCATTCATAATTCACCTTCATTTAAATTACATGGTCTTACATCTTTGCTTAATCTCTCCATCAAATAGCTGTTTATGAATGCTGATAGTTTGTTTTGTTGGCTTCTATTTCCATGGGTTGGCATTTAAACCTACAAACTCACCAAGAAACAAGCTTAGCGAACTGAAAGATCCTATGGAGCCTATTAGATAAAATAATTCACTTTATCGAACTTCATGAAACGATTGTGGAGTCAAGTACACAGACTAAAGTAGTCGAACAAAGTGAACTGGAATAACGGAGCATAAAAGCATAAAAGTTTAGAATGATAGACCCCGGTGAGATAAGAAATCCAGAGAAAAGCTCCGCTATTGCAATTACACAACCACACAATATGAAGGGATAGATTGACATACCTCAAAACTAACACATTGAGCGTGG